GGAAGGTGAATTCCAAATCTACCAGTTACTGATTCGTTGCTGTAACTTTGCTACTATCTATTTAGAAGTAGTATACTTTTCCTTCACATTTGTCACCACGATGGTCCGACAGCCCATCATTATTGCTCACATTCAGAATCCGAATTGACTGCTGAACTGCCTATTTTACATTTTCCATGCTGAGGCTGATGTTGCATTCTTGATGCTTCTTCACCGCAGTTGGGCTAAACCAACTTACACTTATACATTTAGCTTTTTTAACTGGATAAATTTCACTCCACTTTATTTGGTTTGTTCTGCCTTCCTGAATAATCTTCTATTAACTGACCACGTTGCTTACACTAATTGCGCTTCTCTTCGGTAATTTTGTTGCATTTGTAGCATTTTTAAGTAACTTGTGGACATTTCTTACTTATCTCGGATTCGTTGCTAACCAACTTACTTCATATGGTAATTTAGGGAAGAGTTATGCCACCGTATCTGTATGCATTATTGGATTTATTTTATTTCAACTTGTCGTTTAAAGTGAATGGCAGTTGCTTGATATCCCCGGTGTAGCTGCGCTTGATGTGCATGTTGACAAGGTGCCTACCTGTCTATTATCCACTACCTCGTTCATACTGGCTCCAGAAGACAGTTGGTCGTTTCTGGAGGGGACGGAGTGCACGATCCTTATGGCCGTGCTAGGCTTGAAGAGTGGTTCCATGCACTCAGTGTGGAGCGCACTGCGGTCCAGCCACCGCCTTGTGTGCGATTGATTTCCCAGATACAGTGTGCTTGTGTTTGCCTGTGAAGGAGGAGTATGGGCCGGTTCCGTTGATGAAACGTGGTTCCCATCCGCATGCCTCCCGGTCTTATTCCTTCGGGTTTACACTGGATATGGGGTGTGTGGATGGAGCTGTGGGTGGTGCAGCGCAAGCCATCCATGGTCCCTCTGTAGGCGCAGGCATCCTGTGGCTTGCCACAGTGACAGGCAAATCCAAAACCGGATGTCGCCAACCATGTTTATTTACTGATAACGATGTGCAGAGCTCATACCCGTGCATTTTGTTTTAATGCACCAGATATTACGCAGCTGAATGTGTTCAGACTGCTTGGGCAGAACACGTGAAGTATATCTGTACCTAATTAAGTCCGTTCACCTATTCGGAATTTGCACGTTTCTATTTTACTTTGTTATCATTTATGTAGGACCACGGTTGCTTCAGTGCAATTTGTTCTGCTCACCGCCCTTAGTTCTCACAGTCCAGACCGTTGGTTTAGATAGGTATCTTCAGCTCACCGTTATACAGCGATTTCTGCAGTAGCAGTAATCGCCAACATTACATTCACTTGACAACAGGTTTCCGACCCTCCTGTTCAGGTCACCTTCAAGGTCAATGTCATCCCATTTGCCGGGGTTGCTGAAAAGTTAATAAAGCTCGTTAAAAATTCCACCCTTTACCTGGTTATATCTGAAGTCATTTGGAACATAGACGATCGCAAAAATGTGTTGTTAGTGCTCCACTAACCTTGAGCCTGAACTGCGCGCGGTCAACACTTAATCGAGAACCAGTCCGGTGATATATGTTAGTTTCTATTGTTTGTTACTACAACCAGCTATCTCCCTTACGCGCCACACCAACTGTGTACCAGTTCACTTGGCCTGATGAAGCTTTCATATCAAAAGCGCAACTTGGCCAATTAAATAAACTGACTGATTCTTTACAAATTTCTCTGAAATCACAATCAGCGGCAACTTCGGTCATTCGGCCTACGCAAGTGATGTATGGCTCCATGATTCGCGAGTGGCATCAACCTAAACACATTACAGTGGTCATGTAACCGGCTTACGGATGGACAGCAAACATCCATAGCAAGGGACTCCAGAGTGCTTTCTTGTTCAGCTCGCTGACCTATATGCCCTATTGTACCTGCATTGAAGATCGTCAATCGTAACGAGCATCTGGTTTAAAGGAGTAATGGTGTCGTAGCTCTATTTTTATCGGCGATTGCATCCAAATTGTATTCATAGAAACAGAAATCTTAAACAGAATACCATCTTGTATGTGATGGTGTAATGCTCGCCTTTCGGACCTTGTGACTCGTAGCCATTTATCCCGTAAGTAGAGCAAGTTTGGGACGCAATGTCTACGTTACTATTACAGATATACAGTTAGGGGAATTGGGCAGACCTTGGTCTCAGGATCCCGGTGTATCAACGTCAACAACGGGATGCAATTCAAGGCGGGCAGCCAGAGGACGAGTACTCGACAAACGCGTGAAATTACTAACGAATTCACATCGGCCAATCATTGACAATTCACTCACAGTGTGGGAAGGGTATAAGGTTGAAGCACAACACATCTACACACAGAAGGCAATGGCCAAGTGGATGACCTACGCATCGCTCAGAAAATGTGGTAACAATGTGACATCTGTTACAATCGAAACAAATTGAGATGAGATTAGGGATGTAGAGGGAATGAAAGCACAGGCAAGTGGCGAATCACCGAACTGTTGGTGTATGGAGGGTTGGACCTTTAACAATGTAAGTGCATAGCGGATAATATAGTAAGATCAAAACATTCTAGTTTTTAGAGTGCATGGTTTTGTGCACGATCGGTCCTCGCAGCCACAAAGGAAGGTCATTGGATAAGCTGAAACGTATTTCAAATAACAAGCGGATGCGTTTCAGAGGAGTTTTCCAAGCAGTGCAATAATCGGCCATAGAGGGCGCGATTGACGCAGGATGCGGTATCAGTTTATTGCGATCCATTTGTTCACGGCAGTTAGATTACATGTCAGACAGGACACTACTATTTCGGAAAAACACCAGACAGCCGTTCCACCTTCTTGGGACTCGTCAGTGGTGCACATTTTTTCGGTCCACTTCAGTGGACCAAACGCATAGTCCCTAGCGGCTTGCGCCACTAGCCAGCAGGGTATGCCACTGAGCTATAGGAGCTGATAGCCGACCACCATGGATTAATCTAACTGCCGTATGACCTGATTTATTTCACCAATTCATTCTACTCATAAGTAGTCAAAAGTTTATCCTAACAGTTTACAATGCTGTGTGGGTTCGCGGCCACTGATGGGGAATTCCTCTCATTTGATGGCGAACCACTGTCCCTGCACGTCCATTAACGTGCATGTTCGTGAAGGTTGGCTCTAGCTATATCGCAGTCTGGTTTCATTCCATGGTGACCGGCCATCGTTCCCCCTGGCTCAGTGGCATAAATTGCAGACTAGTGGTGCGAGCCACTAGCCGTCCTGGGTTCGGTTACCTGAAGGGGATAATTTGCACCACTGACGAGTCCCAAGAGAGTGGAACGGCCTGATTGGTGGTTGTACTGTTTAACCTGTGATCTAATTACTATGAACTAAATCTCATCAAATCCCTCTACTCGTGAGTAGCTTGCAATCTGTTCTAATTTTCTGTTTTATGCGCAGCCGTGCTACATGGTTGTCCAACTGAGTCTGGCTTAGTAGCTCATTCGCAAGCTAGCGGGATAAGACCTGTGGATTGCGCCTGTTGGGGGCTGGTGTCCGATTTCTCAGTTTACACGCCTTTGGGTTAATAGGTCGCCATACACTGGCTAAATCCTCCTCAAAGTTTTGACAGATATTTGCTGTAGAGGGGCACGGCTCAGTGGTTTTAGTCAATGGCTAGCCACGTCACCGTGTTGATAGGACGTGGTTTTCATAAAGTTTGCCACATCTGCAATTTTCCCACGTCCTGGAACACGGCTGCCAAACTATTCGCTGAACTGTGCTACTCCAAAGACGTCTAGCTGGTATCACGGGTAATTCGCCTGCTAAGCTAGTCAGGGCTACAGTTGGGCATCCTTGAACGAGCGAAACTCTCGTCTTTGAATGAGTGGCCAGAGATCCCCATTTCTCTTCCTTACCGCTTCAGTTACCACACGGTCTCTCACCGTTACCGGCTAGGCTTGATGCTGTATTTCAAAAAGAAACCATTTCTATTTATCAGACTCTGTCCTCCGAAGTCGTTCCAAGGGATGACTGACTTCATTGTTTCTCGCTTTTTCTTCTGAACCATTGCCCTCTCTGTCTCTTTCGCATTGTCGCGGAACTAGCAGGACGAATTTATGACAGAACATATAAAATAAGGTGAATATGATGAGGTACTTAATTGCCTGTAAGGATGTTCTTTCACTGAATTTTCCTATGTTATTGCTTGTTGGTAGGTCGCAGCTCCACTTTGTTTGCTATCTTAACCGTTCTAGTAGTTGGTGTTGTGCACCGTCTCACTCAACCCTACTAAACCATCACATCTGTTGCAGCGCGTCTTACAGATTTGTTTCTTTCCAAATCCTCGACACTGTTAGGGCCACTCTCATTTGATTACCCAGCATGTTTCATCCCCACTATAAAACTTTTAATTTGATCTCAATTTCTTTCACCGTTGGTTTGTAAAGCCTGACTAAATTCTTTTATTTTCTCTCTATTCTTTTGTACTTAGGCTCTAATCAGCTGGGACGCTTTTTTCTCACTACCATAGGCTGCTGTGCTAGTTGCATCCATCGGTGCTTTCTGACCATGAATCCTCGTTACCGATTTTGCGAAAGCTAGTAGATTACACCTCCTTTTATTCGTCCCTTTAAAAGCAGGTCTTTTATTCTAGCTCTCGGTTACTGTAACTTTCTCCTTTTCTCAGAGGTCTAGATTCAGAATTATTTTATCATTTACTTCTGACAATATTTTGCAGATTTGAATGAGTATCACTACTTGGTGCTGAATTACGAACTGGTAAGCTCGTCTGCATGCTGCAACACGTGATCCTATGGGCTAACACAACTTCACTATCTTAACTGCATTTCGCAACGCTGTAACCGCGATATTGATATACTGTTTTTTCCTACTGGAATTCACCATTGTTGTCAAATTTTACCTAGTACTGTTCCGTTTTCTTCGACTCTGCTCTCTCTTTTTGAGCGGGCTTCTCACCTACATCTGTATGATAACTTATTCAAGGATATTTTTTACTATGACAGTGATGAAACCTTTGTGCCGAACGGCATACGCCGACACACGCAAAAATCTATTGTTAGACAGCAACGTGAAGTTGATATGCCAAGGTTTCACTGGAAAACAAGGAACATTCCACTCACAACAGACCCTAGACTACGGCACCAAACTTGTCGGAGGCGTATCACCAGGCAAAGGCGGATCACAGCATCTCGGTCTCCCGGTGTTCAACACAGTCAAAGAAGCCAGAGAAGCTACCGGCGCTACCGCCACTGTTATTTATGTGCCGCCTCCATTTGCTCCGGCGGCGATTCTAGAAGCCTTAGATGCCGAAATTCCATTAATCATTTGTATTACCGAAGGAATTCCACAACATGATATGGTCCGGATCAGGAAACGTCTTATGCAGCAGGTAATTGGAGTGACTGTGTTTGTCACATATATTTCACACACACCCACACCATTCAGTTGTGCTGTTGCTGTGCTTATTACCTCAATCGTTCATCCTTTAATACCCGCAATCATTTGCTAGCGGAAACATACGAATTCACCATGTATTTTGTTCTTTCCACGCCCATTTCGCGAAGCTCTCATTGAAACTATTTTCCACTCGCTAGTAGCAAAGAATGTTCCATTTGGAAGTGGTATTCTACACTCGGATCCAGTGACTTATTAATGCGTTGACGTATTTTTGTAACCTCCTAGTTGATCAGAAACCCGACTAACCTTTAAACTTGTGGGCATTTCTTGTCTAACTGCGATGGCTCCTGTCCCGTAGTTTTGTTTGAATCGTGTTCTCAACCTATTACAGTATTTGTCTTTTTTAAACTACATATATGTGTACTTTGCAGTTGATGTATCATAAACACACAATATCCACGTTTATTTGTTCGGTCACTTTCGAATTAATTTTCACTATTTTGGTCTGTCGTTACTGCTTCTTTTCCCGTATCCACAGATTTCATTTTTCTCCACCCAGTGACTGCTGGCCTTCAGATTCTCACATACATATCTTGGTTGTTGTTATATCATATTCGTAACTTTGCAGTTCAGCCTGCTTTCAGCTTCTGGGTTTGTATACTCACCAACGATGGCCTTGAGATTTAAAGCCTACCGGATCTATTTGCTGTAACTCACATTACTCTGGAGGAAGAGACTGTGACAAGTCAGGTTTTCGTCTCTACTTTAAGGTAGGCAATTTTACTGCAGTCGTTTCATCACCAGTCGAGGTGACTTCATCAGCGCTTTACCTCGTAGTGGACAATCTCGTTGAGTGGGTCTTTTACTCTTGATCGACGAGCAAGTGACATTTGAACCTGACCTCTTCGAATCATGTCCCCTTGATTATTGCTGTTTCGTTGTTTGTTCGCCTCCACTTCCTGTTTCATGTTGTAGTTCATGGTCCACCCAACTTTTTCTTTTCACTTGTTGTCACATCGGATCTAGGTCGTTTTGCAGGTTTACTGTACTCTGTGTAATGAGCCACACTTCGCGAAATTATGTTCATTTTCTTGTCCTTTCCGGCGTCAGCACCTCCGTTTCAGTCTCAGTCAAAGTTGTGTCCCTTCCTCATCAACGTGGGCCGAGTGCTGTTGAGTTAATGGTTTCTGTGGGCTCGTTTATACCCTTGTAATCCCATAGATAACTTCCTCCCTCTTTGGTCCGCATAGTGTTTGGTCTCGCAATTTCCACACTATATTCGTAAACAACACTTCGACGTTCGTGTGCTTTCGTTTTCCTCTTCGGTCTAGACAGAACGGCGGTTGGTATGTTAGCTACCATCATATGGGTCGGTTTGAAGAGTCGAGCGGTCATTTTTGATACGTTCTTGATATACGGCAAAGCGATCCGTTTCCTATTTGTTGCTTTAGGGGCGGTATTTGCATTCTTCTAGTCTATGTGTCTTTGAGTGAAACTGTGCTTGGGTGCACGTGAGAGATGTAAACAGCTGGTTTTGTTCTTTTCCTTCTGCTTCCGAAGTATTACAGTGTGTGTCTATCCTGTGAAATGGGGTCCATCTGCAGGTTATTTTGTTAGATTTTTGACGACAAGTCATAACTTCTTGTATACAAAGAGTCAGTTGTTATAACAACAAGCACATTTCTGAAGATCAAACGGTATGACTGTGTTTGGAACTAGTTTCTTCAACACATGCTTTTTATTCCTTTCCATTCCAGTCTAGCTCACGATTAGTTGGACCTAATTGCCCTGGCATAATTAAACCAAATGTGTGTAAGATCGGAATCATGCCTGGCCATATACACACCCCAGGAAAAGTCGGTATTGTCTCCCGCTCTGGCACTCTGACCTATGAAGCAGTGTACCAGACTACACAGGTAAGCTGAACTACACATTTACGAAGTGAACTTTAGTTTTTTGACTGGATCATAACTTCGTTACGGTTTTGTCCACATTTCCATGGCTTAAAAATGTACGTTCCAACATTTTCGATACGCACGTTTTTATCGATGTATTTCACTCTTATTTTCCAATCTGAGTTTTGTTTTCGTTAAAGCTTTTCCTCGAATCGTTTTACTTTCTCCTAGGAAGGTCTTGGGCAGTCGTTGTGTGTGGGGATCGGCGGCGACCCATTCAACGGAACCAACTTTACTGATTGCTTGGAAGTGTTCCTCCAGGACCCAGGAACAGAGGGGATAATTTTGTTGGGCGAGATCGGTGGGGAGGCGGAAGAAAAAGCTGCGGCCTATCTGAAGGACCACAATAGCGTAAGGTCATTTTCTCACTCTTTACTGTGTTCTCATTCACACTCTATTGGTCAGTCGCTTTCCAGGACTATTCCTAGATCGTATTATCCCATTGCTTACCGGAAGAGCTTCCAATCGCTTTCTGTCACACGATGCTTATGTCAGCCCGACTGACTTATTGTTTAAATTCACACACGTCCGACTGTTCCGTTCTTGTACTACTCATGTTCTCTGTTACATTAATCATCACGATTTGGAAGACTCGCTTGGATTTTAAATCGTCAATTGCCAATCTGAAGACGACACCACACTTCGGATGCATTGCATTTACGGAGCATTTTTCAAGCACTTAATCCATTAACTACTGGTCACTAAACAAGGATGTGTTCATAACTCACCAGGGTTTTATCAGTGCAGCGAATACTAATTTTGCACGTGATCCAAAATACAGCTTATTACCGAATATAAGCTCGTCCATGTATAGGCCGACAGTATGACCACGATGTCATATTTGTCCAAAGTCGTCAATCCCTATATTAGCCGAACCCCGCCAAATTTATCCGTAAGCGCTTTTCCGTCATGTTTTTCTCCATGTTATTGAGTGTAATGGTGTTTTGGTTCTGTATATTCCCGTAAGTTTCTGTTGTTGTCGTCCGTAGCGAATGTCAAATGTTTATTATACCGCGCATTTTCGCCACAACATAACGTGTAGGCACGCTGTCCGCAGTGCTGCGTGGACACCTTTCGAAAATATCCGACGCCTGGAATACCGTCCTTCACAAGCTGGTGGTCTTAAGGGGGAGATAAAGGCAGAGGTGTGCAATGAATTTCTGGGTGGATTTTCCACGTGACTTTTTTCAAATTGCGCACAACCTTTTTATAATTTGACCCTCTATTATAGAAATGGCAAATTGTCCAAAAACCATCAGCTTATATTCGGTAATATACGGCACGTGTTTTTCTTACTAAGTGAATGTGAATGTCTAACACTTAACCAAAAGGTTTCGTGAAAACAATCGTCGTTTTGACTCTAATCCGGTTTACCTAACTAACCTATTCGTTTCACCGTCGGTTGGCGTACTCATCGTTTTGCTAGTATCGAACACTTGTTGCAATAACCTTGTTTTTATCACATAAGATTATGCGTTCAACTTCTAATGAACATCCATTTGATTTGAGTTTCATTCATGTCTGTGACACATTGCGCGTCGTCAGAGAATGAACACCGGTGACACTCCGTTGAATGCCATCCTGATGGGAATGCTGGTTGACGTGTTATGCATCACATCAAATGGAATGTTGACATTGCATATGCACACGTGTGCATTTCAATCATTCTCGCAAAAGATCGCTATCATTAACGTCAGAACAGGTGCCCATAAATTTTTAATGTGCTCACAGCCGTCGCCGAAGGATTCATCCTTGAGTCTTTGAAGATAAAAACAAAATCCACGTTCTTTGGTGACGTCTACAACTTCTTTGATGTACCTGTTGAGTGCCGCCATCCGTTAAGTGGGGTCTGATTATTTGGCTGGCGAATCACAGACGTGTGCCGCTTGTACTTTGGCGACTGAGATGCGACGATACGTTGTTGCCAAGTGTCACCAATTAATACTGGCGTTCGCTCTTATCGGTCGTTCTTATTCCACCTCAGTCGTCTTGTTATCCCACAGAATCGTGGATTTGTGCCAGTGCCATTTCATCAATGATTATTGTCCGCTTAACGACAGATCACTCAGGAAATCCTTTTGTCTGCCACTTGAATTTTCTTCATGTATGTCTACCATCTTGGATCTTCGTTTCCGTTTGCCCCACCGTCTCGAGATTTCGCTGTCGATGTTGGATACTAGCGATCATTTTGGCCAGCACCATCCACTAGGAATATGGCAATTACTGTGTGTATTCAGTGTACACCAACAGTTTGCCATGTGTTCCGCCTGCCAACACACTGTCTCCCGCAATAGACGGTGTTTGCGCGAGCAGTGTCCAGGCGGAAAAAGTGGAGGAGATGTCAACTGATGATTTGGTCATGTGGAATGAAAGCTCTCACTTCAGTTGGTGTCTTTCGAATTTCTTGTTGGAGTCCTAACAAATATAGTCACAGTCGGTTAGCGACACTTGTTGACATGACCAAGAGTCGACCTCAATGACATTTGTATTGTGAGTTTCGTTGCCTTTCCTCTTCCAACCGCGATCTCATTTCTGATGCACAATAAATACGAGATAGTATTATTTCTTTTCTTTTTGCGACTATCCAAGTATTAGGTTGTTCGGAAAGTACTTCGTTTTTCCTTTTTATTTATCTTTTTTTCACAGCCAACTTCACACTTAAGCCGCATAATCATTATATATTTTGACAGCTGATATAGCAAGGCTTGCTTGCGAAAATGTTCGATTGAAAAACGGCATTGTCGGCATATTTTACTTTTTTACTATTGGGAAGGTAAAAATACTGTTCAAGACAGAAAAGAATTATCGGATGTGTATGAAGAACATGGATTGACAGAACACCAGTGCCAAACTGGTTTGCGTAATTTCTATCCGACAATTTTGATATTGAGGATGCACCAGTTTCTGCAAAGCCAGTTGGACACGATGAAAACACAACAAAGGCATTATTTGATATAAATCGGCGAATACAAATTTGTGAGGTCGTTGAGAGAATAAATTTATTGAATTCAACCATTTATAATCATTTGAAACGCGCAGGTTTAACCTCACGACTCCACCTATGGGTTCCTCGTGCCCCTTACGGAAAGAAATTTGTGCCATCATCAGCTGTGCGTGTGTGTTGTCATCAGCTGGACAGATTGAATTATTCACTTGAACAACAAAAGCCAGAATTTTTTTTCAGTTGAGGAGGTGTAGTGTTTCACCAAGTTAATGCGAAACCTCACATAAGTTTGCTAACTGGCCAAACGCTTTCACAGCTTAAATGGGATATACTTCCACACTCACCATATTCTCCAGATCTGGCACCTTCTAATTACTATGTGTTCTTCTCTCTACAAAATATTTTACACAGTGAAACCTTTACTTCAAATGACGAGGTCAAAATTGCCTGGATTAGTTTTTTTGCCAGCAAAAAACAAAAATTTTGCGAGCTACCGCCAGAAGGCGGACAAGTGGTATTGAACCAGAATGGGCAATATATAAATCAGTAAACTATTTATACACTATAAGAAAATCCTCTTTCCTTCTGATAAAAGAGAAATTACTTTCCGGACAACCAGATGTGTCACAAAGTCTGATGTTTTTCTGACCCCCAGCTATCGTGTAGAATGACGAGAAGTTCGCCAAAATTCAGTCTAGTCTCATGTTTTTGTCGCTACCTGATTGGAACACACTCTTTTTAACCCACTTTGGACTTATGTGTTTGGTTGCCAACTGCCAAAGCTGGAATACTTGTACGACCACTTTATTAGTGTCGGGCACAACTGTCACTGCTGTGCTACGAAACATTTTCTGACGCGCGCTTTTGCACGCTTTACCATATGCTTTGCACCCTCAATGCGCAAATTGTTGCTTTTCTGCGACTATCACTAATTCTCGCCATCATCGGACGACGGCTACAGGTTGCCGCTCATTTTACCTACATGAGTCTCATGTCTCATATCTGGCGGGTGAATAACCAAATAGATTATTGCATGTATTGTTAAAGTTTGTACAACTTTTCAAAACCTCAGCCACCGGTGTATACAACGGGATGTGAGTGTATTGGTTAGATGAATGGTCTACAACACTGCTCCGCTGTATGGATCAGAGGCTTGGAGACTCTGCGCTAGTGACCTTAGCAGACTTATTGGTTTTGATCAGTTAATTTTGAAGTATTTTCCATACCTGTTTGGAGAATCGAGTGTGTTATACTGAAATCCATAGCTTGTTGTTTGATAACAGACCCCTTGTTGCTTCATTGGGGTTCTTGTTGAACTCAACTTGCCTTCGGTAGCTCAGTCCTTTGCTCCGTACGCCTGCAAGCCAACTGCTTTGGCATTTATTGCTTGTCAATACAACGCCTACTTAGGTGAAACCCCCAAGTGATCAGTAAGTCGTGTGGCAAAGAGAATGAGGAATTTTTGAGCAGTTTCGGCGCAGCCAAATTCACTCAGACACCCGCCACATATCTAGAAGTGCTGGACGACCATTTCCTCGTTTTGGAGCTCATGAGTGGCACGCATCCGTCGAGTTTTTCTGCGTCCGAACCCATGGCTTTAATCTTACGAACTAGCGACTGCGCCATAAGTGACAATGGTAGACGACAATGATTATTTACTAGCTGCGATATAGCATAATTCATTCTCCACTGTCACGCTGAGCTGATTGCCGATGGTTGGAGAGTTGTGTCAGCTTACATGCCACCACGATTGGTCGCTCCTTGTTGTGCGCAAAAATCCTGTCCTCCACACGTTCGCTACTTACGTGACAGTGGAGGATGAACCACGCTGTCTCGTTGCTAATAATCAATCGTGGGATTTGCTGCCGTCGCCCATGTCTGTGGTTTAATTCGCTTATTCGTAAGAGTAAAGCCATGAGTTCAGACCCAGAAAGACTCGGCGGAGGCGCGCCACTGATGAGCCCCAAAATGACGAAATGGTCGTCCAGCACTTCTGGATAAGTGGTGGGTGTCTGATTGAGCTTGGCTACGAAGAGCTTTATCAGGGAACCGAAAAGCTCCCCCCAATCTCTAACGATTATGAAGAGGCTCACCGAGATGCTGAGTAGGGTTGGTGCGTGTCTTTCTTACGTCGCCAGTGATATGTAAGATTCGCACTGCTTGACACCTTTTTGTTGTTACACCTTTCTACGCAAGGCTACTACACTCCAGCTTTACGCTGGGGAATGGCACGTCTAAGGGGCACTTTATGTCCCGCCGAATATTGTGCCAGCGCCGGAGTTTTCAATCTTCCTAAATTCCCACCCACACACTATGTCGGTATGAACATATGTGCCTTTCCTATTGCTGTTGCATCAGGGTCCCAATCGAAAACCAGTGGTCGCTTTCATTGCTGGCGTGACTGCGCCGCCTGGTCGACGTATGGGTCACGCAGGTGCAATCATTTCAATGGGCAAGGGTGGAGCTAAAGAAAAGATGGCCTCTCTGGAAGACGCTGGCGTACATGTCACTGCTTCGCCCGCTCAACTCGGTGTCACTATATCTAAAGTCAGTTGCTAGATTTTCGGATCTTTTTCGCACTGTCCCCCATTTTACTTCTACAGTTATCTGAGCTTTCGTTTCCAGTCAGCATCCGATCCCGTTTCGCCGATCATCAGCATGCACTTCCACACCCAACACAGAACATTCGGTCCATAGCTAGCTTTTATTTACATAAATGCAGCTCTGTCTCATCCATCAACTACGCTAGACCGTTCCCATCGGGTTAACTCTTTGATGCGTATTTTATGGGTGTGCGTACTCATTTCTGCCATCTACTTTGCCAAATATAGGCTTCGGACGTATAGTTAGATTGCTACGTTGTCGATATCCATCCTTTTCATTTCTTTTGCTAACCTTCCCGGAAACGAGCGAATATTCCTTTCTATTCGTTACGGTTACTGCTCCAATTGATGCAAGCTACTCAGCGTGATCTCACGCACATCGGAAATGTATCGACCACACCTTGGTTCGGCGGAGCTGTACTCTACCGGGTGCTTCCCTGGGTTGCGGATCGGGACACACTGTTCTTGCGAAGTTAACTGTGAATATCTCTCAGCTCTTCGCAGGCGAGATGAATAAGCAGTTGCCGACAACCACCGGTAGCGTTCTAAAACGTAGGGGGTTCTGGGATGGTGACGTAGTTCCTTATTAAAGATCCCAAGTGCTCGCAAGATGCTGTGTCAAAGCCAATCTTTCAACGACTCTGTGCTCTTTGCTAATGCTATCCGCGGCCGTGGTGATGCGGCGGAACACACTATATCGCGCTCTACTGCAGCATACTTCGGTTACTTTACCCCACGTTTGTTGTGCACAGAGCTCACAGAAACAAACCTCTTAAACAGAGTCGATATCTCGCTCAACGCTACCCATCAAGTTATCAAATTAATCAGGTCATCTTCCGAGCTTGGATCTGATGGCATTTCACCAACCACCATTAAAATAGGACGACCTGATATACCATTGCTACTGATGAGCATATTCACTCTCTCGCTGGAATCTGGCCACTTTCCTGATCAATGACAAATGTCATTTATTATGCCGCGGCATAAAGGAGGTCCAAAACAAACGATTGATAACTACCGACCAATCCACTACACTCCGATAATCGCTCGGCTATTTGAAAAGCTGGTCAGAATGGTGATGATGAACTTTATTGATTCTATTGGCCTGATCAATTCGCATCATGGTTTTCTCAATACGCGATCGTGCACCACATGTCAACTGCATTACCTTAATCATCTTTCAGAATCAATTGATGCCGGCGTTGCAGTAGTGATGTTGTTTCTTGACATACACCAAGCGTTCGATGGAGTACTGCACATGCTACTGCTACAAAAGTTGGAGAACTTTGGGATCTGGGATCCATTACTAGATTGGCTATCGTCATACCTGAGTGATCGTCATCAGGTAGTCACTATTCCCCACACTCAATCACCAGTGGAGTCATTCAAGGGAGCGTGCTCCGCCCCTTACTCTTTTTGCGCTACATCAATGACATCACCAAATCTGTAAAACATGGTGCATCATTTTTAGTTCCTGACGATATCAAATTATTCTATAAGTTTCGGCGTGACGAGCTTCACGAGACATTACTGCTTATTCAAGATGATTTACATTCCCTTGAGTCATGTTGCTGCACATTGGTGATGAACCTCTCGGCTAATAAATCGAGCATCATGTCTTACGGCTGCTGCATCTCCGAAGGATCTATCACCCTAAACAATGAATGCGTCCCTAAACAGTTGTACACGCAACATCTTGGAATTAGGTACTCGTCTACTTTCAATTTCTCCGAACAAGCCCAATAGCAAGTAGGACGTGCCAGACAGTCTACATTCAATATATCAAACAAAATACACACAACTCGTGTTAGAGTTGAGATTTTCAAGATACGCACTCGCCACATCCTTGTATACTGCAGCACAATAGACGGAAATATGCGAATGAGTGACAGAATTGCTGTGGAGCACCTGCAGAGGTCATTTACTAAACATCTGATTGGTTAACACTGCTATGAGTTATCGAGAAGGCTGCAATAAACTTCATCTCGAACCACTTTGGATTCGACGATTGAAGCACAACTTGTTGCTGCTTTTCACTATGTTACACAAAAGGACCTATTCCAACCTGCCTACACTAAATTTACAAAATTGTTCAACTCGAGCGCTTCGTAAAAAAGAATTTACATTGAATATACCGAAGGCTTGAACGAACTTCCGATCTAATTTCTTCCTGGTCAGATATAGCTATCTTTGGAATAAACTACCAATAACACTCAGGTCATGTGACAGTGTGACAACATTTAGTAGCAGACTCGCAAATTACCTTGATCTAACTACCCTAAGCTTTATATTCACATGGGAAAAGTCCCTCGACGAGCTGTTCCAAGAGGGGCCCAAAAACATCTTAACGTCAGTGTTTTCATAACTAGGCTCTTGCCTCAACCATCCGGCAGCATGTTAATACATGAAACGCATATCCCAATACTCCACCTATGCATGTCACCTATGCAAGAGCATGAATTCTTCTACACAAATTGATCTGTGCCGCTATAGACACAGTTTCTCTCATCAATAGAAATATACCTATTATCATTATTATTACTCCCCATCCTTGGTAATCACCCTCCGTTTCCTAGTCCGCAACACCTTGACGACGTATCAGAAATTTAGGTCCGAGAATGCGCCGTCAATTAGTACTGACGAGCCTTTTCTAGCGCCTCGTCCGCAATTCATGCTATCAACCATTATCGTCCGGACGCGGACGCAGATCGGGTCACAGGCAACCTTGGCTCTCACGCTTGAGACTCATCATCATCATCAACAGCAATACATCAGCCATTTGGGCTGATGCTTCGCTGCCGCACAAACATGATGACCTACGGAACGAAGAACAGTAAGCTAGAAGGGGGGCCGTTGTAAAACCTTAATGCTCTAAGCAAACATTCAGACACAAGCCGCCTACACTTTGTGTAGACAACATACCGTCACAAACAGCTGGCTATCATGCAAAGATAAGGCGGCATCGGCGAGACAGCCTCCTTGCAGCTTTCACTGCCCCGCGTCATAATCATCCATTACCACTCAGATAACTCAGCACCAAACATACTTTAAGCAGGCAATTTGACTAGGAGACGGCAGCAGATGCGCCACTGGTGTCGATTGCGAGCCATGTCCTGTAAAGTCCCGAGCCAAGCACAAGGCGAGTCACGTGGACTCCAGTCCGAAAGGCAAGTCGGACCAACGGCACCAAGTTTGGTCGTCAGTGACTTTATTTCCCGCTTCCAAGTCAACTTCTGTCCACCTCGAATCTTGCGGCACCCTACATCTGGTAGACTAAACAAGGCCCTCCTAGGTAAGCGGTGACCAGGCATGCGTAGCACGTGCCCGAGCCAACGCAACTTATTCAGTGCTATCTGTTGTTCTAGGGAGCTAGCATGATCATCACCACCTAGTACTCGCCTACGCACATAATCGTTGCGTACACGCTGGTGCCATTCGACACCAGCAATGCTTCACAGACAGCGGTGATCAAAGACTTGAAGGCGTCTCAGATCTTCAGACCGAAGGATCCAAGTCTTACTACCATAGAGCAGAACGGTCCTCACTGTGGTCTTGTATACACGGCCTTTCAGACGGAGGGAAATTCCCATCTGTCGCCAAAGATGCCGCAGGTTCAAGAAGGCAGCTCTGACCTTTGCAATGCGTGAGCTGATGTCAGTTTCTATGCGCCCATCGTTGTTGATGCAGCAGCCAAGATAAGTGAAATGATCAACCACCTCGAGTTCCTCGTTAGCTAGAGTCAAGGGGTCATAAAGCGGCTGGTGGTGCTGCAGCAAGGCTTTGCACTTGGAAGGTACGAAGTGTATACCAAATAATGGGACCACACTAGAGAGGTTATTCAGAGTTGTTTGCGCTACCCCAGCATTGTTGAAAAGCAGTGCAACATCGTGCGCATTATCAAGACGAACTAGCTTTTCACCAGGCAGTACTTTATCGCTTGCACCATGATATTCTGCAGAGGAACTCCCTGATGCAGTCCACGATGAAGTTGAACAAAAATGGAAATATTGGACAACCCTGACGAACCCCACTTGTTGTCGGAAAGGCATCCGACAAATCACCGTAGACCCTGACGCGACCTGTAATCTTAGAGTACGGGGCACGTAAAATGTTCACATATTTCGTGGGAACACCTTTCCACGCATGTATTTCCAACAGAGTGCATCGGTTAACAGAGTCAAACGCACTTAAAATCGAGAAACACAGCTGTTGTCGGCCTGCAGTGCGTGTGGCGCGGCTCTGGCACCTACCTCAGAGTGCAAATGTGGTCTGTACTGCCACGTTCCAAGCGGAAGCCTGTCTGCTCTTCCCTAATCCGAGATTCCCCTTCCACGGTGAGGCGACGAACGAGAATTAAGGTCAGTAATTTTCTCACCACCGGCGTATATCTAATACCCCTGTGGTTAGCACAGTTGGTGCGTCTACCCTTCTTGTGTATTGGCACTATGATTGAATTACTCCAGTTAGCTGGGATGGACTCTGCGTTCCAGACCTGTTCGAACAGGGAGGTCAGTACTTTGCAGCGGACCTCACTACCATCCTCAAATAATTCGGGTGCGAGCGAATCCGGGCCTGCAGCACGAAAACGATCAAGGGCTGTGATCGCGTTTCCAACATCAGCTTCCGATGGAGCATCTAAACTAACCGAGCATAGCTCAGCCTGCAACACCTGAGTAGAAAGAGGTCCAGAAGCAGCGGGACAACTGAACTGATCTTGAAAGTGCTCCGCCCAGCGAGCCATACTACGCTCCTTATTGTGAATCAGATCAGTCGCCTTGTCCCCTATTGTCTCACCGACGCCTAGTTTCCTGGGACCAATGGTGCGGATCAGTTAGAAGAGCTTCGATAGTCCCCTACTACTCCCGCCTCCTCCACTTTTTGTGCTTCCTTGTAGGCACGCAAGCTTCGCTTTTGTTCACGCCTAATAGTTCGCCTGGTTGCATT